CGGAGGAGGGAGGGAGCGAGGGGACCTCTCGCTGCCCGCCTCAGTCAGACGCGGCTCCGCTCCGGCCTCCGAGAGAAAACAGTCCCCAGCGCCACCTCCACGGCCGCTGCTACCGCTACTGAGCCAACAAAGGGGCGTGCGTCACCGCGCCGCGCTGCGTCGTCGCGTCACTCCTCTTTGCGTCACCGCGCTCCGCCCCGCGCCCCTGCGTGGAGCTCTAGGAGACCCCACGGCCCAGCCTGCCTGAGCTTGGGAGTGCGTCGGCGCGGCAATTGCGTTTTTGGTCGTTTTGGATTCTCTCCGCGGACCATCTCTGGGGCGGTCCAAGACCTGACGACCCTCTGCTTGAGAAGGCTGCGGCCTCCTCGTCACCGAGAGAGAGGTCCCTGGACCGCCCAGGTAGTTATTTTTGCCGCAGGCCAAGGGATCCAGCCCTCTCACGCAATTGCGTAGGGAAGGCGGCCTTCCCACTGGGGCGTAAAGGCACTTCCCGCCCGCCCTAGGGTGAGTCCGGGGAAGCCCTCAGCTGTTGAGCTAAAATTCCTGTTGCCTGGGCTGCTGAATGGAAATCTGTTTTACGCGGCAAGTCTAAACGGTGTGGCAGGTGAACCTCATCTTCGTTCTTTTGATTCTGCACACTTGTACAGACGTGCGGTGGTTGTAAAGTCCCTGTAGTGACGTCATTTTAAAGAGGCGTTTCATGAATTCAGGCAAACACCTATTGAGAGCCCTAAACAGAGTAAATAGTAATGGCTTTCGTTAGCTGAGCATTGTGTAAGGGCTTTACATGTATTATCTCTCATCTTCACGGAGCCACTGTACCCATTTTGTGCCTGAGAAACCTGAGGGAAAAGGACTTGTCCAAGACCACAAAACACTTGCACTGTTTTAGTTGCTGGGTAAACTAAAACATCACTCATAAAAAGTGCTTTATACTGCTTAATATATAAAAATGCGTTATAATACAAGACAATACGAGCAATGATAAAAATATTTACCAGGGCCAAATGTAGCAGAGAGGAAGTGCTTGACTCTTATTGGAAGTTGCTGTTCTATCTGAATGTTGATCAGTGACTAGAAGTTCTCCAACAGCGAAGGTAAGGAAGATTGTCTAGCCTGAGAGGACAACAGAAGCAAAAGCACAGAAAGTGTAAAGTAGTTGATAGTTTGGGAAGCTTAAAGTGCAAGGAGGGTAAATGCAAAATATTAGGAAGGTTAGGGGCCAGCTCAGTAAGAGCATTTGAAGGCCTTCTAAGAGTGGGCTTAAATCTTGTAAACAGGAAAGGAGAGGCATAAGAAAGCTCCCTCTTGAGATAGCTTGAGGGATTGGCCAGATTGAAAATATTTTAAAATCTGGATCCCTAACTTATTGATAAATTTTACTGTTCAACTTGTGTGGTTCAACTTGGAAATTGATTCCGAAAGGTGGAAAGAATGCAAATAAGAATGTGTTAGTAAATAGTACTGACTTGCCCATTTTATGAGTATTTAATCACAGTTTCTTAAAATAGCATACATATATAATCTCAGAATTTGCAAATTAAAGCTTTTAGCATTAGTGCTGGGAGGTCTTGGCCCTTTATTTTATCTTTCTATTCAACAGACCTATGCTGTTGGTTCAACTAGGGCAGACTATGAACACTAGCAATCCTGTATAATTCAAATGCAGAGCCAGCAGATTGGCTGATGGCTTGTATGTGCGGTCTGTAGAAAGAGAAATCAAGGATACCTCCTAGGTTTAGGGTTTGAGTAACTGGGTGAATGATGTGCCATTTCCTGAAGCGTGCTGAGGTTGAGATGCTTGTTAAGACATCGAGGTGGAGAAATTGAGTGGACAGTTTCATGTACTACTGTACAAGACTGAAGGTTTGGAGAAGTTAGGACTAGAGATGGAATTCACCAGAATTTATGTCAACAGTGTTGAGAAGGAGATAGGATAAAGGTTAAGAGCTTAGGCTTTGGAGAACAGACCTCAATTTGCCTCTGGCTGTCCAGTTGCTTTCAGTAACCTTATGCAAATTACTGAACCTCTGTGAGCTTCAGTTTGGAGGATTATAATTCCTGTTCTCATAGGACTATTTGTGAGGAGCAAATGAAATAACATATTTAAAGCATTTGACAAGGTGCCAGGAACATAGTTAAGTGCTCACAAAATGAGAACTTTAGAAAAGTGTAATAAGTCACCTTGTACCTTGTGGAAAACCAATTAAATTTCGTTTTGTTTTAGTTGTGCCTATGTATACATTGTCTGTGTCATCCCATTTTCTAGGGAAGAAATCTGGTCTTTTTTCTTAGGAACCTTTTCCGTGGTCTCATGACTTTTTTTTGTCACTATCATGAGCAATGTTGTGTGCTTCTGAATTATAGTTGTGAGTCTCCTATTCATGGATAAACTTTCATAACCAGATTCTCAACAACACTTTAATTCCATTCATATTTTGTAAGCTATCTTAGATTCAGGTTAGTTTATTGTGCTATTTAAGGCAAACCAGTATAACAACTTCTCTCTGACCCCAAATTGGCCAAGGGATGACCCACATACACATTTGTTTAAATGACTTACACTTAAAGGAATTGACTGTGGTACTGCTGTCTTAGCTATGGTGATTACTGGGTGTGAGTACGGTAGTCTCTAAACACCAACAGGGTAAGGTCCTTGAAAAAGAACAGACAAGTTATATTTCCTTGAGGACAAAAAAAATCATTGCACATAATCATACATCCCTGGTGGCACAGTGGTTAAGAGCTCAGCTGCTAACCAAAAAAGTCAGCAGTTTGAATCCACCAGCTGTTCCTTGGAAACCCTATGGGGCAGTTCTACTCTGTCCTATAGGGTGGCTATGAGTCAGAATTGACTCGAAGGCAGTCGGTTTGGTTTTTTTATTGTCCTCATGTCCTAGTAAGGTCAAAAAATATTAGTACACATTTATTAAATATCTACCATGAACAAAACTCCGTAAGTATTTATTCGTTCACCAAATGGTTAAGAACTAAATACGAGCAGGAAGAATATGCAGATACTTTTCAGAATAAACGACATTAAAATAGCACTGGAATTTTTCTAAAGGCAGATAATAGAACTGTAAGCTATAGAAAAACCTTTAGTAATGATAGGGCACTAGGATGACCAACCATCCCAGTTGGCCCAGGACTGAGGGATTTCCTGGGACATGGAACTTTTAGTGCTGTAACTGGGAAGTCCCCAGGCAAACTGGGATGATTGGTCACCCTACTGGACACCTCACCAAATCTTCTTGTATGTATGAAATTAAAACATTGTCTACAAAACCAAATGGAAAGAAATTACTTTGTATAATTTTTTAAATAAAACTTGTTTCAATGTAGCTTTTTTTTTTTTTTTTTTTTAAGTTTTAGGTGTCCCTGTGTGTTACCAGGCAGGAGGTAAGAAAATTAAAATTTTAATGTAAATTTCATTTAAAATTAAATTTTAGCAAAAGCACAAAAAAGAAATACTAATAAACAAAACTAATTAATAGAGTAGTTTGCATTTCTTTAAAAACATGTACCTCAAATTTTGTTACAAATACCAGTTAAGAGTTACACCATTGTTCAGATGCAGATCTTAACCACACCAATTCTAGGTGGTAAGTAATAATAAGACATAGAGAAACACAGGTTATATGCCTCATTTGAGGTCTGATAGAGTTAGTAACCAAAAATAGAACCCCAGTCATATTCCTGACTGCCAGCCCTTTTTCTAAGATATTCTCTGCCTTATCTTTCTCCCAGAATACAGCATCTATAGACTTTATTATAGACCCTGAGAGTCTATACAGGTAATTATCTATAGTATGTAGTAAGATAATGCTGAACTAGAAGTAGAGTACATACCATCATGCAATTGGACTAGACAAATACCTGAAAGTAGTTACCTACTGACAAAAATATAATATAGTTTGTCTTTTACCTCAGGGTAGGATACATTTAAGCCAACCTGGAATGTTGGTTATCTTCCCATTTCTAAATATCTTCAGAGAACACTAAACCCACTTTGGTGGTGGTGCCTCACAAAGCTTACAGTTAAAGAAGTTTTTCTAATCTAAATTCCTCCACAGATGAATAGTTGTAGCAGACACCTAGATACTCCCATTGGAGAAAAAGTTTAATCTGTGATCTTGAGCTTCAAAATTAAACCTTTATGTGCTTACTCACTATATAACATTGACTTCCACAAGCACTGAAGTAGAAAACCATAGTGTCTGTGTTTTCCATACTTTAATCTCACAACAAATTTATTGGGCCAAAATGTAACAACAATAAAAAATAATAACTAAATAAGCAGCTGAACCTAAAAAAAAAAAAAAAATAGCAAAATGATCATACCCAAGAGTGTCCTGATGATTTAACCACTTGAAGAAAATATTTTGATAAAAAAAGTACGCGAAAGAAAGTCTTTGGTTCACAGTGTCTCTAGTTTACTATGTTGCCTTTTGGATGCATTTGAATGAATGGATGAATGAATAAGCAAAATGAGCAAATGTAAGTATATGCCACACTATATAGTATACTAGTATAGTATACACCATATACTGGTATATGCCACCAAATTATCTAGTTACCTCCTTATTAAGCTGTAAAGTTGAAATTCCTAACCTCATTTTATAGAGAAGGAAAAAGGTTCAAAGATG